TGGCAAATAATGGCCTTAATCAAGAAAGTTTAATGAGGCTGCCGGCGCGTACAACGGCGGCGAGCGCCAGCGCAGCCCGGGGCGAGCGGGAGCGTTCGGGGGGGGGCAGCCACGGCACAGCCGGCACCAGGCCTCGTACCGAGGGCAAACCTGCACCGAGCGTGGCACGCTCTGGACAATCGGACATGTCTGGGGTCACCTCGTCCCTCTGACCCCCTTGGGGACACACCGCATTCCCATGGGACATGGGCTGCCACCGAGGCCAGCCTGGATCTGGCAGCCATGGGATGCTGCTGTGCCGGGGGCCTGCCCCGGCGCCCCCCTGCCCGTGTCGGGGTCACTGCCCTGCAGCCAAGCGTCCCCCCAGGGTGGCCGTGACCTGCCGGGGGCCACGGCTGTCCCCAGAGGGAGTGGAAGCTACGGGCAGAGCCACCCCCGGCGCCTGGCCCAGCGCCGCGGTGCAGCTGGTGCCGGAATTGGCACTTCATGGCGAGCGAGCGCTCGATGGCTCTTCAGGCTGCACTCGAGGGAGCCGCGGCGCAGGGCGAGAGCCGGAGCAGGAGGGGAGGACGTGCCCCCCCATGGCCCCTCGCCGCCCCCGGGACCCACCGCTGCTGCCAGCGAGGGGCTCGGCTGAGCAGGGTGGGGGCACCCCACTGCCATGGGGGTCTGCACCCCTCGGGACCACGCGGGCCAGTCCCCAAATCCTTGGGGACCACCGGGGGCTTTGCCGGGGTTTCTCCCATGCTGCAGGAGCCGGGATGTTGGGACCAGGCCCTGGGAGGGGGCTGGAGCCGGGGGTCCGGGCAGGGACCCCGCTGTGCCCTGGCGGCTGCTGCCGCCCGCTCCGCTCCTCGCAGGGAACAGGGGCACCCGCAGGCTGCGGGCCCAGGCGCTGCGCACTGCAGCAGGGCCCTGCACGCTTGCAACGGTGCTCTGCACGCTTGCACACTGCAGCAGGGCCCTGCACACTTGCAACAGTGCTCTGCACGCTTGCACACTACAGCAGGGCCCTGCACGTTTGCATGCTGCAACAGGGCCCTGCACACTCACAGTGGTGTCCTGCATGCTCACACGCTGCAGCGGTGCATCAGATGCTCACAACAGGGCCTTGCACACTCATATGCTGCAACTGTGCCCTTCACACGCACACTGCAGCAGCACACTGGTGCTCACAACGGTGCTGTGCACACTCGCACACTGCAACAGTGCCCTGCACGCTTGCAGTGGTGCCCTGCACACTTCACGCTGCAATGGAGCCCTGCATGCTCACAACCATCCTTGTGACCACGGCCCCAGCCATGTTCACAATCGTGTTCTGCACACACACCCTGCTTGCGTGCTCACGTGAGCCCAGCACGTGCCTGTCTCGCATGCTTGCACCAGTGCCTTGCACGTGCCTACTGCTTGTTTGCAGCAGTGCTCTGCACACGCACCCTGCCTGCACAAGCACACAAGCTTGCATCGGTGCCCTGCATTTGCACCCCACCTGCCCGAGCAATGTGCTCCCGTCAGTGCCCCACGTGCACGTCCCACTCACACAAGTGCTGCGCTTGCACCTGTGCCCTGCACACATCCTGTTGCACAAGCAACGTGCGCGCAGCAGGACCCTGCGCATGCATCCTGCTTGCACAAGCACTGGTGCCCCACACAGCACCCTGCTCACGCGTCACGCTCACATCGGTGCCTTGCACGCACATCCTGCTTGCACAAGCACCATGCTCACACCGGCGCCCTGCACACATCCTGCTTGCACAAGCGC